TTGGTTAGTAAGGCACGCTACCCTCGGTTTCCGAAAAAGGGATCAGAAGAAGATATGCAAATTTGCACCGAATTTACATATCTTCTTTGGAAGAGGTTTTTGCGGAAAAAAAAAAGCAGTCTAGACGGGGGTTTGAAAGAACCCTGTAAACCTCATTTTTTGAGGCATAAGGGTTCTTTCAAAAAAAGTGAGGTTTTTGCATGAAAACCCTCATCTAGACTGCTTTTTTTTTAATCTTCCAAAAAAGGGATCAGAAGAAGATATGCAAATTCTTCTTCTCAGCTTTTTGGAAGCTGAGGGTAGTCTAGACGTGCCCCTAGTCTGATGAAAGAAAGTGATAAGAAACTTTGCTTGACTCTACTAATAGTTAAGTTAGGCTTTAGTAAGTGTTATCTTTATTTCCTTGTAACCCTTCCTAACTTTTATGCCTTGTTATTTGCACTCACTTAAACACTCTCTTTTTGTAGTTAATAAATATGTTTTATTGCTTGAGCTAATCAGGGTGTTCAAGCTGAAGTGTCCGTGTAACTCTATCTGTGGCAAGAATTTAGGTGCATATTATTTCCTTCAAGGAATAAGAGATTCAGTGTGTTTGCATTGTCCAGGAGAGGGCTGGAGAGTATAGGACATATGCTTCTGAGGGAAAATCTGAGACTGGAAGTGTTTTGGGGTCACCTGTGGTAAACTTCAAGGCAGGTAAGAGCTAAGGTGTGGCTGGCTAGTTACAGCACATGGGTGTAGCTGGAAGCGACTTACATGTTGGAGGCTGTTTGTGAGCAGCAAGGCATTGGAAAGGACATCCCCTGCAGTGACACAGCTACATATTAGTTTGGACTGTACCTGGTATATCACACCCATGGATTCCTGCTTTGTGCTACCAAGCTCTAAGGAGGTAAGGGCCAGGCCGAAATAGAGGAACAGCATGCAGGTCACCCAGAGTGACAGGAGGGGACAGATTCAAGCTGAATTCTCCAGTGCTCTGTGGATGCCCTGAGATTTGAGCAGATCTCTGAACATACACCAGGTTTGAGGGCCAGGCCCCCAAGGTGAGGACCAATCCACCTTCACCCAAAGGGAACTCTCAGAGGGGAAGCAGAATATTCTGAGTCACATTAGCCCTACCCTGGGATTTCATACAAGGGCAAACTCTAGGGCTACGTCTACACTGCGTATTGTTGTGCATTCTTCCTGAAAATGAGCGGCAGAACAGCTCCTGCGCAAGAGGGGGGTTTTGCTCAAGAAGGAGCAGTGTAGTCAGCTCCTTCTTGCGCAAAAACCCCTTCCGCAAAAATGGTGGCTCATTAGGTATGCAAATGAGGCATGGCAATATTCATCGCCATGCCTCATTTGCATATCTTCTTGTGCAACAATGCGCAGCGTAGATGTAGTGTAGGTGTGTAGCTCTCATCATATTCTCTGCTGCTTGTTCTGTTTGTGCCGGGCCTGGTATATACCGGCGGTGGGGAACTGTTCTCATCCCTCTATTGTTTCCAGTGGGGTGCTATTGCAACTCACTGACATCTTTGGAAAAACTGGCCCTATGCATCTAGACACCTAAAGATTCAGAAAGGTCCTTAGTAAGATTTTCAAAAGCACCTAAGCAGGTCTGAGTCCCATTGAAATCATAGGGCCAAAGGAGATCAATGAGAGCCAAGCACCTAACCTGTGTAATCTTTTCAAAATCCCTCTAGGTGCTCATCTGCAACTTTTGGTGCCTAAATACCTTTGAACATCTCAGTCTAGCGACTCACTTATGAAATGTTGGAAGCAAAAGTAAAAAACAACTTTTATAAAATGCAACAAATTACAAAAAGTAGAAAATTAAAGATACGTCTCCTCCTCAGCAGCAGCTACCATAGTGGGTAAAATAAATCAGTGACTGGCCCGAAAACCACACAGACTGAATCCCTTATTTCAAGGGCAGAAGAGACCATTGTGATCATCATCAGTATTCTCTTCCCTGACTTGGTTTGCCAATGTCAGGCTGTATTTATATGAATCCCTCTGGATACTGGTGACACGAGTTCACTTTTGACTTAATCCACTGTATCAAGAGCTATATTCATTCCTTAGGGAATGTCTACACTGCAACACTATTTCAAAATAACTAATGCTATTCCGAAATAACTTAGTCCGTGTCTACCCAGCAGGAAGTTATTTCGAAATAATGTCAAAATAATGTCAAGCTGGAGGACTTCTTACTCTGACTCCTGTAACTCTCGTGGTACGAGGTGTAAGGGAAGTTGGAGGCAGAGTGCGCTATTTCAAAATAAGTGCTGTGTAGACGCTCCCAGTTTCAAAATAAGATACACAATTGACATAGCTCAGTTTGTGTAGCTTATTTCAAGTTAAGCCCTGCAGGGTAGATGCACCCAAAGAAATGGAGGAAGTCAGTGAAGTTATGCAAGGGATGAATCTGGTCCACTGTGACTCCACTCTCGCTGCATGGATTCACTGGTGACATGTCTTGATCTTTTGTTCTGTATCCCACACTCAGGGTGTGTCTAGACTACAGGGTTTCGTCGACAAAAGTGGACTTTTGTCGACAAAACTATACCTGCATCCACACTGCCTTTGAGTTATGTCGACGTATGTAAACCTCATTCTACGAGGAATAACGCCTTTTGTCGACAGAGTTCTGTCGATAGAAGGCATTATTGCATCTACACCGTCCTTTGTGTCCACACTGTTATGTCGACAAAGCAGCTTGCTTTGTCGACAGAACTGGCTGTAGTATAGACGCTCTTTGTTGGCAGGAGCTTTGTTGACACTATCTGTTGACAAAACTTCTGTTGACGAAACCCTGTAGTCTAGACACACCCTCAGTATGCAGGAGCTGTTTATTACATCCTGGTGATCTGCTCTGTATTAGCCATTCCCATCCCTCCTTGTCCTCTGCACCAAGTCACGCTGCCTGACAGTCATGCTGGACTTCGGTCCCTTGGGAGCTCACTCTCTGTTTCTCTTGACCCAGCTCCCGCTGAGGTGGAAACAAGATCAGATCCGATATTTCAGGGCTGGGCAAAAATACGGCCCGGGGGCCGGATCCAGCCCCGCAAGCCAGTGGATCTGGCCCGGGACCCCTCTGCCGGGACCCTCAGGCACGTAGCTTAAAGCTCAGTCTGCGCATCTCTGCTTTGCAGGGAGGGGGAGTCTTTGTGCGATCTCCCCACCCCCAGCCCAATCCTCAGCTCTGATTGGCCAGAAACAACCGGTCAATAGGAACTGACCCCAGCAATCTATCAGCTTATTGGTTGGAAACAACCAGCCAATAAGATCTGAGAGATTGGCCTAGAGGATGGGAGCAGCGCAAGTCTTCCCTCCCCCCGCCAGCTGAGAGCTAGGTGGGGCTTGCAGCTGCAGTTGTAAGTGATTTGGGGCTGCAGCAGGCAGGGAGCCCAGCCTGCCTTGGGGTGCTGCTGGCTTAGGTAAGTGCCTCCCAGCCAGTGCCTGCCCCTGGCACCCCAGCCCCTCCTTCACCC